CCTAACATGGCTTTACACAGTGCCACTTTGATGTTTTCTGTTTTATTCTCTATCCCTTTCTTAATGGTTCCTATTGTTTGCTTTTTTGACTGATGCTGCACCCTGAGGGAACTATTCACAATGTCTCCAAGATCTTTTCTTAAGAACATAACAATGGCCATACCGGGTCAGACCAAAGGTCCATCTAGCTCAGGAGCCTGTCTTCCAACAGGGGCCAATGCCAGATCCCCAAAGGGAGTGAACAGAACAGGAAATCATCAAGTGACCCCTCTCCTTGTAATCCAGTTCCAGTCTCTGACAAACAGAGGCTAGGGACACCATTCCTGCCCATACTGGCTAATAAGTATTGATGGACCCATCCCTTCATGAATTTATCTAGTTCTTTTTTTGAACCCTGTTAGAGTCGTGGTCTTCACAACCTCCTCTGGCAAGGAGTTCTGCAGGTTGACTATGCACTGCGCAAAGAAAACCTTCCTTTTGCTTGTTCCAAACCCGCTACCTATTAATTTTATTTGGTAGCCCCTAGTTATTCTGTTATGGGAACAAGTGAATAACTTTTCCTTATTCACTTTCTCCATATTTGTCATGATTTTATAGACCTCTGTCCTATCCCCCCTTAGTCTCCTCTTTTCTAAACTGAAAAGTCCCAGGTTTTTTAATCTCCCTCCATCTGGCACCCTTCCAAATCCCTAATAATTTTTGTTGTCCTTTTTCTGAACTTTTTCCAATGCCAAGATCTCTTTTTTGAGATGAGGTGACCACATTTGTATGCAGTATTCAAGATATGGGCGTATCATGGATTTATATAGTGGCAATAAGATATTCTCTGTCTTATTCTCTATCCCTTTTTTAATGATTCCTAACATTGTGTTTGCTTTTTTGACTGCTGCTGCACATTGAGTGGATGTTTTCAGAGAACTCTCCACAATGACTCCAAGATCTCTCGAGTGGTTAGTCCCCATCATTTTGTATACAGGCAGTCCTCCGACTTATGTCGGATCCACACTTACGAACGGTCGCCGCCCGTGTCCTCCGGGGTGAGAAAAGCTTCTCCCGGTCTCCCTGGTCTGCTGGGGGGGGTCCAGCAAAGCCGCTGGACCCTCCTCCAGCAGACCAGGGACACCCGAGCAAAGCCGCCGCCTGGGCGGCTTTGCTCGGGTCTCCCTGGTCTGCTGGGGGGGGGGCGGGGGCGGAGGTATGGC